ATAACAGCAGAAGAAAATAACTTATTGAAAATCACTGGACATAAAAATTTAACAGTCATTACAACCTTTGGGAGAATCCTACCTTTGGTACAGGATCTCATTCTAAATTTCTTAAGATTCTTTTAGCTTGTGAGTCCTCAGTAGTTAGGATACACTTATATGTCTTACAAGCAAATACATTATTAGGAGGAATCATTTTTTTTTGGATACACAAGAGACCTTTCTCACTCAGATACAACTGCCCTTCCAACCCTACCCACATTCAACTCCAAGTTCACCTGCATTTGACAAACAATGGGCTTCTTCTAAGAGCAATGCAAAAAACGTATCACTATTTACCAGATACTTCAGGCAATGGAGATTCGAACACAAATAAATCGTGTCTTATCCTAGAAGTAATCACATGTACAGCTCTAACAGTAACATAAAAATGTGACAAATGATTTTAAAAAGTTGATGCAAAGTACTACAGAAACATAATGAAAATTCAGTAATCTTGTGGGGGCCAGAGGGTGGAGAAAGGCTTCACAGAGGAGGTTAGATTTCATCTGGACTTATATGACATAAACATTCCCAAGCAGAGTGGGGGCTTACCAGGCAAAGAGAGATTGAGCCCAGAAAGCAGAGCACAGCAGGTTCAGGGATGTCCAGTTTGTCTAGAGTGCAGAGTATAAAACTAGGCTGGGGCTAGGCTGGTAAAAAAGAGAAGCGGAGAAGACTACAGCTTGAAGAGAAGGCGAAAAACTGGCTTGGGTTTAAGAAAGGCGAAAAGCTGGCTTGGGTTTTTCTTTGGATAGAGAAGTATTAAACATTTTGTCAGTGAGGAAAAGTCAATACAAGTATGTGCTTTCACATTTATTATCTCAGTTGGGCCTCACGACAAAACTGTTTCAATTTGATAGCCCAAGATGAGTTAAGAGACTTACTGCACAGGTCAAACTATTAAGCAACATAGATCAGCTCTTTCCAGGGCTCTTTCTAAAATACCATAAAGTTTCTCTGATCACACACAAAAACATTCCAAAACAGTCCATGGTCTAAAGTGAAAAGCCATAGTGCGGTAGTGTGAGGAGGTTGAGCAGACTTTTTTTAAAGAATGAATTGGGCTTCTAAATCAGCCGAATTATCATCTTTGAGCCTCAGTTTCCTCTTTTGCAAAAAAGCTATATCACTTACTTGAAGAGGCATCCTGTGGCCCAAATATAAATTTGTAAATCAGAACCTAAACATGGTAGGTATTCAGAATAAATGGTGGGTCTTTTTCTCCTTCTCTTCTTTTTCCAAATCCAAACCTATTTTCCATCTTATCCTTCAAAATTCAGCCAAGTAGCAATAAAGCTAAATTGGGTGTAATTTACTCCACTATTATTATTCACTCCTAACATATTTTTTATGGATGACCAAAGATTCATGTTCTGAAACCTTTACCTTTCAAGGGGAAAGTAAAAATCAGACTGGATCAAAAAAGGCTAGAAAACTTTCAGCTGATTATATCACAGGTTAATTAAACCTCAGAGAAAATAAGGGCATTCACATTGTGGATGAAAAAAAAAAGGGGTGGTTCTATGGAAAGTAACCTCACAGGGTGATCTGATCATAAATTCCTAACTGGGCAGATTATGGTGGGTAGTCATGCCCAGGGCTATAACTTCTTTAGTGAAAGGTTTTAAGCCAGCCCTGTCCATTGTTCTTATATATCTAGGTTAACACACTTTTGAAATAGCAGAAGTAATACCCCTGGAAGGGGGTATTAACCCTCAAGAGAGCACATAATCTTGCTAACTATCCTGTAATTCAATTCCCACCTTTCTTTCTCCAATCTCCCTTATGTATTCTCCTTAATTTCAAATGCATAAAAGAAGCTTCAAAACTGTTATTCTCTGGAACATTTGATGGCATATGCCATCAGTTTGGCTCAAATAAACTCTTATAAGAATCCTTCACAGTTTGGAAATTTCTTATGTTGAAACATGATGCTCATATACCACCTTCACTATCCTTAACAACAATCACTGGCTTTGGGGGACACATACACTGACTTAAGTAACTAATTGCCCTGCCACTAGGAGGGGGAGGGGATTGACACTACCAAAAACATGCTTCCATAAAAGGACAATCTCTGTAGAACTCTCGACTTCTACCACCTACAAAACGCTAAGCCCAAAATCTTTGGACAAGAAAATTAGAATCCTTTCCACTTTACATATGCACTGACAAATGTTGAAGACCCCGTTGGATGCCCCAGAGTAGTGCTAAAACCCACACAGGGGCGAGTTGGCTCATTTAGAAGCCCAGTTTTCAGACTCCAAAACTGTAGATCAAGACAGTCTACAGGAAACAGTAGCAACTTCGTTTTATATATAAAGACAGGTTACAGACAGCAAGACATTGGGGAGGGAAAGCAGCATGGTGTCAATAAAACAGCACTGGGCTGGGAAGGATGTCTAGGGTCTAGTTCTGACCCTGCCCCTAGCTGGCTGGGTGACACTGGATAAGTCCTTCTTCTCTCTCTAGGCTTCATTTTCCCACCTAATAAAATGAGGCAATGTGACCAGTGCCTCCATGCTATTCAAACCATGGTAAATGGACCAGCAACATTAGCATCATGTGAGAGCTTTTAGCAATTTAAAATCTCAGGCCCCAAGCTAGGCCTTACCAAATAGGAGCATGTAAGTTAAAGATATCCCCAGGTGATTTGTATGCACTTTAAAGTTTAAGAAGCACTGTTCTTAGGGTCCTTTCCACCTCTGACCTAGGATTCTAATCACATAGCAGAAAGCAGTAGGCAAGCCAGAGCTGAAGGGATTGGACAGGGATAGAAGAGGGCCAGTGGAGATAAAAGGGATAACAAGGGAGAAAGGATATATTTTTACCCTCCTTCATATCCTTCAACTTGTAGTTCAAAAGGCATCCCTCAAGTAGCATTCTCTGACTTAAATACATCTTGTGGGTGAAACTGATCCTCCACACTTTCATTATAAAAAAGATATTTTGTAAATTTACTCTGATTCAGGAATGTGTACTAGATGCTCCATCTAAAAGCCGTCGGAACTCAGTCTCATTTGTTTTACCATCTCACCCTCTAATACGCACTCCCTGCCCAACCTCGTACAGGGCTCACTCTGCAGATTTCCGACTGACAGGAGAACAGAACAAATGTTCCATGACAGGTACGCCACACACCCATGCAAGAGAAGTCAGCATGTAACAAGGGACTGAAGTGACCTCCAAGGACCAATCCACATGCGACAGAGCCGGACATACAAGCCCAAAGGCACCTACCTCACATCGAGACTGCAGGCAGAACAGGAAAGACCATGGACACACTCCTAGACTAGGAGAGGCCCTGTGAAATGAATGGATGTCCGTGCCCTAACAACCTGTGTTGGTCTCAACCTGGCCTGTGCTTCCCCTAATCCGCCAGCAGCGAATTTTGAAAATTACAGCCCAGAGGAAGTGCAGTGGTGATTGGCCAGCAGGGGCCAATCAGCGAGCACAGTTGCGATGTGCCCTAGCCCAGCAAAGAGGGGTGGGGCTGAGGGAGTTAACTGAATTCTGTGGCTAACAGACTTCGCATTGGGGTGTGGTTTCCAGTATAATTGGTTGGACAAGGCTGGTTTGACATGTGGCAGTGCTGAGTCTCTTTAAAGAAGCATTTTCATTTAAATAACCTTGCTGGAGGAAGAGGGAGAGCGGCTGTATAATGTAGGTTCAGACCAGTTAAAACATTAATATTAATAACCCTTTGTAGAATCAAACACTAATTCCCGCTGCCTTCACAAATAGCCTTTTAATGGGAAGCAGAGTAGAAATTATTGCCCCTATTTTATGGGTAAGTACCCAAAGTGCAGAGAGCTAATAGTAGGTAATACAAATTCAGCACTAGTTCTCTTTTAATTGTTGTAATTTTTGAATTGTTTTAAACTCTGTCCAAAACAATAGGTACTTTTATTATTGCCATTTAACAGATAAAATTGTAGCTTGTTAACTGCCCAAAATCACAAAGCGGCATTTTGGCAAATCAGATACTACAACTCAGATATTCTCATTTACTTCATTCATACGTTAATTTGTTCATTAACCAAATATCTATTGAGCACCTGCTTTGTTCCAGGAACTAGAAAAAATATATATATGAGTAATTGGCAAATGACTAGAATAACATTGCCCTATGCTGTCCTCTGAGAAAGCAAAGAGAATAAAATCTAGAACTTCCTGCATATACAGCAGACACTCTACCACTAAATTATATCCCTACCTTTATTATTAACCCATTCTCCTTTTAGTATTTCACAGCTTCTACATTAAAGGTAGAATATTCACATAATCCGAGGTCCTCTTCTCTTTTTAATCTCCCTATGTTATTTCATCCAGGTCCATGACTTTAAATATCGTCTAAAAGCTGGCCCTAAACTCCAGTTTCATAAATCCAACTGACTATTCCACATCTCCACTTGGATGTTAATAGACACCTTAAACTCAACATGCTCACAACCCTTACAAAACCTGATCCTTCCTCCAATGTCCCTCATTTCAGAAACTGTTACCACATCAAGCTTGTTAATAAAGCCAGAAATCTGGTATCATCCTTGACTCATTCTTTTCTATCACCTTACTACCATATCCATGTTGATTCTACTTCAGAAAAAGATAGCTTATATTCCATTCACTTCTCCTGGTCTTGACTGCCACCATCGGTCTCTCATTTGGACAACTGCCAAGAGCCTCCAAGCTGCTCTCCCCATTTCCAATCTGGCCCTTCTCTAATGCAAATACGACACAACAAGATCAATCTTCATTAAAAAGGAAAAAATATATCCTGATCCTCTTTTGCTTTAGTGGTTTCCACCTACCCCCCA